CTCCGAGCTCGTCTCCGAGAAGGTCGAGCAGCGACCTTCTCGGAGACGAGCTCGGAGGGGAAATCAGCAAAAAAGGCTGACGCTGCCGAGCCGAAGCGCTCCTCATGCAGGGTTTCGATGGCCTTGGCCTCTGCGAGGACATGACGTGCAGTGGGCAGCTCGGCCACATGTAGGAGGAATGTGCCAGCAAACGACCGTGCGGTTCTGTCACTTCGGTCTTGGCACAGCACCCTGCAAACTGCGTTGATGGCATGCTGGTGCCCAAGCTGCCCAACGCCATGCAGCAGACCAGGTTCCCGTCGATCGGCAAAGCGCGCTGCACGGCGGCCCCGAGGGAGGCCACGGCGCTGGCTCGGAGTTCCTCCTTCACATCCTTCCGCCCGCCGGCTGGGCGAGGACCGAAGAGCCCGTCCTCCATCAGCCGCAGCATCCTCTCGCAGCTCGGCAGGCTTGCATGGCTGCGACTATGACGCTCCCCACCCCGGGGGCTTGCCAAGTTGGCTTTACAGTACACCTAGTTACGCCTGCCAAAGTCGGCGCCCAACTACGTGGATGGTTATTCGCACAATCAACCGAAAAGTATTCCCCTCTCAACCCCCCTTCGTGCAGTCATTAACGACGTGGATCAGGGTCCAGGTTCAGGATTTAAGGTTGTGGCTTCAGGGTTTAGGGCTCAGGGCCCAGGGCTTAGATTTCGGGTTCGAGGTGTCATGTGGGATTCTCCGCTAAACCCTTCCTAGATACCCCCAAACCCTCCTTGCATAATCACAGATCAATTTAACAGGGAAGGTTTCGTGGATTCCAAGACAGACATTCAACTAAACTATTCTTAAACCCGCCCCTTCTCGCACTAGTAACCGTGCACAGAACCTGCAGAAGACAGCAATCAAGTTCCAGGGCCCAGCATTCTCCAAGACAGGAATGGAAGCTCAGGTGTCGAAACGAAGCCCTAAGCCCTAGGCCCTAAAGCCAAAAGCCTCAGCACTCAGCCTAGACGAATGCTTGACCCCAATATGCAGCATCCTGCATTCTCTACTATAGAAGCCTGAATAAGAGGGTTTTGGGAGTACACCAACTTAGTCTTGCTAATTATTATTAGACTCGGGTTTTGGGGCACATCAAAAGGAACCCCAAAAGAGTATTGGCAATTGTTAAGGCCCCTATTGTACTCGACCTCCGTCCTTGTCCTGGTTTTTTGGGGTTGAATCAGTCCCTATGTTTTGGAGCCCGTAACCTAAGGATTTTCCCAGCCCCTCGGGCTCCAGTTGCCTAAAGCATGGCCCTAAGGGTTCAAGTGCCTGGAATTACAAGATTTGGGTACCAGAAGCCATAAATAAGGATCACTTGGACTTTTAGGGTGGGTTACTGGGACGCATTATAGGGCTAGTCGCGTACTATTTAAGCAACTGGGGCCCGTAAAACACTTCAAGGAACCCTAGATCTCTGTAGATGGAAAACTGCCATGGTTCTGCCACGCCACCGTGCGCGCCAGCAGTGGCGTTCGGCCGTCAGCCCTGACTTTAATCGTTCAGACACCCTGAACCCTAAGACTACCATCGGATAGTTAGAGTCTACTTGAGATGAGGGGTGGTGCAGACTCTGCCTGAAACCCTGTTCCCACCCCCTGATTTGTCAAAATGCCTTATATGGGGCTCTGCAATGAAGGAGTGATTACGCTCCGGCGCCGGGATTAAAATCAAGACCTGGCTGCAAACTTGCAGTCCGAGATGCAAGCCCCGTGCCTAAAAAGACAAAGGACCCAAAACTGAACTTACAGCCCAAGCCCCGCCACCAACAACTGCGATCATAACAACAACAAAAAATAACAGTAGTCATGTTGATCAAACAAAATCTTACTCATAACCTTAATCATAACACTAATGGTCATATTCAGAAGCACGAGCATTACATAATCATACTGAGACTAATACTGCACGAAGTTGCTCAGACAAGCGGATCTTTGAAAGTAAATCCGTGCCGCTGGCCGCTCATATACTTCTAAAGCAGCGAAAGGCGGTGTTGAGGGGCACGACTCGATGGGTAAAACCCTATCCCGAAATCCTACCGGAACAATCCGGAACATCCCGACTTACATGTTCTCTACATTAGAGTCCCTTTTGGGGCCAGTTTACAGGGGTGCCGCACTTTCTGGGGACCCAGAAACGAACCCTAATTTAGAGAACTACCCATATCCGAATGGCCAACCTTCTGCTTTGAATCTCGTAATTGGTTTTGCAACTTGGGGCGCAGTAAGAGGCTTAGGGGTTTGCGGGCTTAGGGCTTGCAGGCTCCGGTACTTGCGGTGTGACGGCACGCGGCGTCTAGAAGCCCGAAGAGGCCAGGTGCAAGACCCCTATTATAGGAGCCTGACTGGGAAACCTTGGGTGTTTGTTTGGGTCTCTTCATGTGGATCCTCATATTTTGCGGCGACAGGACCAGGGTTTCGCGATCACGTTCTCCATTACCCGGCCAAACCCTAAACCCTAAACCCTAAACCCTAAACCCTAAACCCTAAAGTTAGAGAGTTCAGTAAACTCGAGACCCAAGGCTCCGAACCGAAGGCCCCTCCGGTACCCTAAACCTTAAACCCTGAATCCTTGAGTCCTAAACTGGGTAGTATTATTAGGGGTACCCCTTAAAGGGCACCCCTTCTGAACCCTACTTCCTGAATCCTTGAGTCCTAAACCCCAAAACCCTAAATCCTACCTATAGTCTCCATTGTAGTTCCTTTCTGGGGATGCCTGATCAAATCCTTAATATATAATTGGTTAAACCAAAAAAAGGAACTACAATGGAGACTATAGGTAAATCCGAAACCCTATGGTGGACGCCGGAGAGTCGGAACGCTGTTCTAGGAGAGTTTGAGACTTGAGGCGCAAGTTCCAACCCCCGTAGTTTCCTGGGCCACATGCTGGCGGGGGCTCCTGGCTAAGGCTCGAAATGCTCTTTGTGCGAAGTTCCAACTCTACTGCTCCCCTTTAACCCTATGCTTCCAGGGACCTTATTATTGTGTCCTTAAGGGGCCTAGGGCCCTAACTATAAGGTCCTTGAAAGCATAGGGTAAACTCCACTTACATCTCTCGGATAGCAACCTGCAGTCTGGTATTGGAGGGCGGCAGGGCAACGTTCCCACATACCAGGAGGACGGAGGGTAAGGCACCCCGCATCAGTATGGGGGTTTCCAAAAATAGGGGACCCTAATATAGTGCCCTAACTAATAGGGCCCTTATTACAAGGATCCAAAATAAGGTACCCCTAATTTTCGGAAACTCCCGTATGTACTGACGGTACTCAGGAGTGGGTGGGCCTTCCCACTTTCGACGACCGTGTGGGTGCAGGAAATCAGGGCGTGCATGTTCCAACTCTCCGGCTTCCACTGTACCTATAGTCTCCATTGTAGTTCCTTTTTTTGGTTTAACCATTTTTATACTAAGGATCCTATAAGGTAACCCCAAAAAGGAACTACAATGTAGACTATAGGTAACCTCGCTAAATGCTGAACCTTAACCACCAAAGCTGCCCCGAGACGAGGCTCGAAGCTATCATAAGCTAGCCTTGGAGCACTGAAAGAGCTCGGCGGCTCTGGCATACCTCAAGGTTGAGGGCTCAGGGTTTTGAAGGTTTGGGGGTTTTGGGTTCGGGGTTGAGGGTTTAGGGTTCTGAAGGGGATTTGAGGATTTGGGGTTTTAGGAATTAGGGTTTATAAACATTACACCAGTACCCCTCTGATTATGAGTCGTCATCGATAATGCGGATGTTATTCTCTCTGCACTATTGTCACCATCATGCGTATCTTGTTCAATCGTACTTCCCATAACAGCTTGTGTGGGACACTTAATATGCAAGCTGCCTCCGGACGAAGCACGGGTTATCGCAAGCTGTTGTGCCCTGATCCCTATGCATTCTTCAACTCCTTCTTACCGTACAAGGCGAAGAACGTATAGGAATTCTTCCGCACATCGTTGGACCCTTGCAAAACATGGTAGACCGCTCATCATGCCATACAGAACCACCATAAACAGCATAGACACAAGATCGAACCCTGCTATCATATAGAACCCGTTTTCAAGCCTTATACTACAAGCCGTATAGGCCTGAATAGTTCTCAATGCCCCTCCTTAGATTTCCCTGATATAACTATGTTATGCTTTACCCCATACCTTTTTACCCCAAAGCCCCGTTCCAATTATCCGGGCCTCATACACCTTAAAACCGAAGCCCTGGCCCGAAAGTGATAGACAAGCTTCGTGGGCCAGTGCTCTTCTGAACGTCCAACTCCACTGCCGGCCTGTTGGGTTTTGTTGGTGTTTGGGGGCTTCGGATTGGGGTGTGGTGTGTACCTAGAGTCTCCATTGTAGTTCCTTTTTTGGGGTTACCTTACAGGATCCTTAGTATAACAGTGGTTAAACCAAAAAAAGAAACTACAATCGAAACTATAGGTAGGCAGCAGTCGGGTTGGGTTTTTGTTTTTGTGGCTTGAATGTCTTCAGCCCTTTGCTGAGTGGTGTTGTGGGTTCTGGGTGGTGTACGGCTTATGAAGGCTTCACTGTAGCCCCGAAAACCTACGACATATGTCGACCCTTCTTTGCAGGGTATAACCCATACCCTAAACCCTAAACCCTAAACCGCATAAAACACTGGTTTCATTTAAGAGCCCCAGGAAGCACCCTCTGCCCATCCAGAGACTCTTGATTACAGGGTTTGTTTTTAAGGTTTAGGGTTTGAGTGGCTTTGAGTTTAGGGTAAGGGCACACCTTACCCGCAACTTCAGTTCACACTGCCTGGGAAAGTTGGTACTTTCAATAGAGTTTAGGGTTTAGGGTTTAGGGTAGGGCCATCCGAAACACAAGCCCCAAACCCAATGCAGACGCGCATTGCAGCCAGATCACCTCTTCATCTTCTCTGCTCTAAGACACCGGCAGACACACAGACACAGAGAGAGAGAGAGAGGAGTATGTTCGAAGAACTTTCGTGAAGATCTTCTGACCCCGATTTCACCCTAAACCCTAAACCCTAAACCCCTACCCTTGTGGTTTCAGCAAGCTCTGAAGGAATCAAAGGCCGTTGGCGCCTTGGTGCCGTCTTGCCATTGGGCCTGGGAAGTGTGGAAGAATGGATCCCAAATCCTAAACCCTATACTCAAACCCTCAACTCTATGAGGTTTAGGGTTTGGGGTTTAGGGGTTTAGGGGTTTAGGGGTTTAGGGTTTGGGGTTTAGGGTTTAAGGTTTAGGGGTTTAGGGTTTAGGGGTCCTGCTTCTCCCTGGCCCTGCCTTGGTTGCTTGTTTATGCGATGTTGAGACTGCGGGCATACACGCTACATGTATTATTGGGGTTTACGAGGGTTGTCGTATGAAGACTTATTTAATAACAAAACGTTTCGGCAATCACTTCGCCCCAAGTGCAGAAACTTCCGACTCCTTCTCTGAATGATCAGAAAGCACAAGACATACAGAATCAACACCCGGAGGCAAGCTGCACCTCGCTGCTAACAGCTTTCCTTACTGCCAAACTCCGCTCTTGCATTAAAACACGGGGTTGTTGTGTTAGCCTGTCATTTGGTAAGACCTTTATAAACTCTGAACCTTGAACCCTCGTTTGAATTGGCAAGCCTTCCATTCCCAGCTGTGTTCTGCATAACACGGCGACTGTTTTGTTATAGCAGTCATAGAACACGATGTGGTATAACACAATGCAACATCAACTGACACAAGATAATATGACCCATACCATACCATACCAGACCAGACCAAGCGGTAGGCACCTTCGTCCCAAGAAGTCCCGAGCGCGCACGATCCTTGGCCCTATTGCAAAACAGACTGTCGAGCGAAACGAGCCCTTTCAGGGCTTAGGGTTTAGGGTAGCTGAAACGAGCCCTGGTACAGACTATCGGAAAATGTAGATGCCCTCAGAAGAGTTCAGAAGAAACCCCGAATGGTTAGACTGATGTAAACTGAACAAAACAAGCATGCTTAACCCTAAACCCTAAACCCCTAAACCCTAAACCCCTAAACCCCTAAACCCTAAACCCCTAAACCCCTAAACCCTAAACCAACATCATCTGTGCTGTGAAGGAACCAGAACAAAGCTCTGGGAGATGAGTTTCCTTGCCCAACACTGGTTATATGGGGGCTTCCGAAAAAGAGGTACCATACTTTGGGTCCTTATAATAAGGATCCTACAATTTAGGGTAATTACTACTTTAGGGTCCCCTATTTTCGGAAACGCCCATATAACCCTCTTCAAGCAAGGTGAAATTGGATTGTAGATTACAGATACACTCCAAGTTGCAAAAAGGTTACCTATTCAGCTGCTTCTTAAAACGAGTCCCTCAGACGACTTTGGTCTGAGACCGGAGCGCGCGAGGGGCGGATGAGTCCACATCTGGGAGGATCGAAAAAAGTCTGCTTCGGGGTTTGGAAAAAATGCGGGTAGTAGGCTTTAGGGTAGCATGTTTAGATTGTTGACGCGTAGGGTTCTTGTCTGCAGGAACATAGAAAATTTATGGTTTTGACATGAGGCTCACGTGTGCGGTGTTTTGTGTGTGTGTGTGTGTGTGTTTGTGTGAGTTCCTTGCTTTCGGAAACGGGGGCCCCGTCTACAGTGCAACTTCGGAAGCTTTTGGACCATGTAGCACGTGAACCTGTCGCTGTAATCAGAGAAATCTCCAATTCGGCCACGCGTGTGGGTCACATTGTGGGGCTCAGTCTGCGTGTTGATATAGTGTATAGTATCTAGTATCTAGTAGATGGTAATTGTAGTAATAGTATTGACCCTAAACCCTAAACCCTAAACCCTAAACCCCTAAACCCTAAACCCTAAACCCTAAACCCTAAACCCTAAACCTAATAGTAGTAATAGTACTACAGTACATGAAAGTGAAAGAAATAGTAGGAACCCGAAGCTCCAAACTCTTTCGGCTCCGGAGCTTCCCGAATGCATGTTAATGTAGGGGCCTTAATAGTCAGAATAGGGTTTTGGGATCTCCTTTACAAGGTTCCTTAGAGTGTTCTATAAGGGCTGCTATAAGGGTTTAGGGTGTAGGGGCCTTAATAAGTAGAATAGGGTTTTGGGGGTATAGTATACTATATAATTGTGATCAGGAGCCCCCAAAATAGTATACGTCATAACCTAATAATTACAACAGGGTGTCGGGGGCATACTATAGTATAGCTATAATAAGAACCCTCCCGAACAAAATAGTATAGGTAACTCTTTAGGCCCCTATAGTAAGCCCCGCGCCGGCCGGGTGCACCTCGGGACGTTTGCGGTCCAAATTCTGATAGACCTCGCTTCGAAGCTTAAGGGGTGATAGAGTTTTTGTTTCTTTTAGGGGGTATTAGGGTTTAGGGTATAGGGATTATGGTTTAGGGATGGTAGGGGTTTAGGGATTGGGGGTGGGTTTGGGGATGATTGGGCTTAGAGAGTAGGGTTTGGGGATTACAGGCCATTCTGGGGGGGTTTCGGAATATGGGGTTTATGGTTTGGGGCTCTAGGGCTTAGAGTGTATGGGTTTGGGCTATATGATAGAGGTTGTACGTAGGGTTTCTGGTGAGGGCCTGGGGTTCAGGGTGTGCGGGTCGACCATGGGCATGTGACGATGACTCGGTTCAGTTACCACTACTAGAAGGGTTCCTTAAAGGGATCTATAGGGGTGCCTATAAGGTTTCTGGTAACTCTAGTATAAGGGTAGTATACGGGTAATTCTCTAAATTCGGGTCCCTTTTAGGGTCCTTGCTATAAGAGTGCCGTACTATATTGGGGACAGTTTGGGGACCCCAAAACTGGACCCTACTTTAGAGAACTACCTATCCCGTCTGTAACAAGTGTGACGCTATTTCTGGCCAAGCAGTATTGTTCTACTTGTCCAGTATCATGGGGAACTAAGCATTAACCTTTGGGATTATATAGGGATTGCAGTACCCCGAAAAGGATAAAGGTCAGCTACTACTATTAAGTCTTCATCTTGCGCTGCGACGCTTTGGTCTGTCAGGGTGAAATCTGAGCAGAGGTAGCTGTTGTCAGATCTGGTTCGCGGGTTCAGGTTCTGAGGTTTGGCAGCTGTCTCAGCAGGAGCTGGCTGCAACTTCCAAACCTTAAGCTGGCGACTTCGGACGACCTCTAATTATTCTTCCGACATGAAACATGCGCCACCTGCAGGCATCGGCACAAGATCCTAAACAAGCCTTTAATTATATAGACATGAGATCAAAACACTAAGCCCGAAACCCTGGGTGAAGGGGGGCGCAATCCTCAGCCCAAATACCGACAAACCCCGAACTTGCACTCCAAACCTCAAGTTGTAGACTCATAACCAGGGCTAGACAATCTTACGCAAAAGCTTGCAGCAACTTCGAAGGCTCATTATTATGAAGATTATGTTTGTGAATACTACTATTACGACTATGCTTATTAATATTATTATTACTATGATTATTATTATTATGCTTATTATTATTATGATTATTATTATTATGATTATTATTATTATGATTATGATGATGATTATTATTATTATATTATTATTGTTATTATTATTATTATTATTATATGTATTGTTATTAAAGCGGTGTTTGAGTAATTCAGCTCTGAGGGTCCGCGCACGGCTGCACCAACCCTTACCTCAGATGTGCACGAGGCCCTAAGCCTGAAACCGTAAGCCGCACAGCACTAAATCCAAAATCCTCTAGCTTGTCCCCTCGAAGCTTCTGAAAAATATGCGTAAGTTAGATCCTCTTAAGCCCAATAAGGGAACATCTAAAATGTCCCAAAGGCCTATCTAGTCCTAGGCCCGAAACCTTAAATCCTCAAACCCAGACAACTCCTAAAGCCCTAAAACTCAAATCGGTAGCCTTCCACTTGCCTGCAGAGTATAGAGAATAAGTGGGCGGGCTCGGGATTCAAGACGCCCCCGCCCCCTTTCCCTGTGAATGTCTTCAAAGCCTTGATGTTCTTGTATTTCCCGCCTTACTCGGGATCCTCGCAGACTCCACACAGGTTCTGCTCCGAGAAAGCCTTCCTGTTGCTTCTTTATAAGCCTACAAAATTACCTATGGCTCAGCTCTTAAATACGTCCGCCTATGTTAAGACGGCCCTGGGCGGTTGGCACATTTCAACATTTCTCGGGCAGCAGGTTCACGCGGACGCCTTGCTTCGCTTCCGACAATGTGGACCCCAAGGCTCCATGTACCCATATAGTAGATACTTAGCGCCTTAAAGTACCTATATAGGGACCCCTTTAAGGCCTAAGTATCTACTATAAAGGTACATGGAGCCTTTGGGGGAGGTAGCGCATAGAGGCCTTCTTCATGGCCGTAGTCTTGCCTGTCTCGCAACACAACTGCATGTTGCGCCGTCTGACTTGCAACAAACCCCCCGATTCCGGTCAGAATCGCTTATTTTTTGATTAACACCAAGGCTCTACACACTACTAATACTAATACTGATACTAGTACTAATGCTAATGCTAACGCACATCCTATTGAAAATCCTAATGCTAAGGCTAATGCTGGTGCCTATGCTAAAGCTAATGCTAATTCAAATGCGTTCGCTAGTGGTAGCCGTAGTGCGAACCCAATCATAATACTAATGTGAATACAAATGAAACCACTAATACTAATACAATACATGCTATTGCTAAAGACTATAACGCTGATGCCAATACTACTACAAACACTAAGACCAATACAAATACAATACGTGCTAATACTCCTACTGCCTATGCTAATACTTATACTCCTAGTACTAATACTATCACCAATACTGAGACTAAGACTAGGACTAGGACCTATGCTATACTATACTGCATTTGCTATACTATACTATACTATACTATACTATACTATACTATACTATACTGTACTGATCTTTTCTATACTATCCTATACTCCACTCTACCCTATCCTACCCTACTACACTATACTATACTATACTTAGTTTACTATGCTGTACTATACTTTACTAATAGTCATCCTATCTTGTATCATACTACGCTAGGCCACTCTGAACCACGATTCTATATTCCTTCGGCAGCATCAACAGCATAAGGTACCAATGTTTCTACTAACAGCATGTCAGTCCCGGCAACGCAACAGCGACGACAAGCACGACAACCACAACCACAACCACAACAACAACAGCGGAAGCAACCGCAACCGCAACCTCAACGGCAACCGCAGCCGGAACCGCAAGAGCAACAGCAACTGCAACCACGACGGCAAAAGCAGCGGAAGCAGCAGTAGCAGCAGCAACGACTGCAACAGCAACATAAACAGCGACAACCAGCACCACAACGACCACCACCGCCATCACGACCATCACCGCCCATGCACCCATCACAGCGACACCACCATCACCGACAACAATCATCACCATCACCATCATCACAACAACAACAACAACAACAGCAGCAGCAGCAGCAGCAGCAGCAGCAGCAGCAGCAGCAGCAGCAGCACCACCAGCAACAACGACGACGACGACGGCCACGACGGCGACCACAACAACAGCAACAGCAACAACAGCAACAGCAACAGCAGTGGCAACAGCAACCGCAAGGGGAACCACAACAGCAGCACGAACAACAAGAACCACGCCAACCACACCAACACCAACACCAGCACCAGCACCAGCACCAGCACCAGCACCAGCACCAACACAAGCAGCAGCACCAACACCAACACCAACACCAACATCGCCAATAACAGCAACAGCACAGCAACAGCAACAACAACACCAACAACACCACAACCACCACCAACAACAATAACTACTACTGCAACTACAACAACAGCAACAGAAGCATTGTTAAAGAAAACCAGACCCCGAACCCTAACCCTGAAGTGTCAGTCTGAATCACGAGGTTTGGCGGTCCTGAAGCCTAAGCCTAGCCCTTCACCGTCACCTGCAAAATCCCTACACCATAATCCCTAAACCCTAATCCCTAAACCCTAATCCCCAAACCCTAATCCCCAATGCCTAATCCCTAATCCCTAAACCCTCATCTGCAGGACGAGCGGCTGATGCCGGGTAGTTCGCCATTCTCCGGCCTCGACCAGCTCACGGCTCAACTCTTGTTGAGGAATTCGCCATGGATTCATGGCAATGACAGAGTCCATAAAGTCAAACCCAGATTATCGATCACGGCTTTCGACGCTTGACGATACTTGACGATACATGTGGATCAAGCTGCCAGGCCTACTTAACACCAACGGGGTGCAAGATTTTGGGTTCTAGCCAGACTGGCCCAGTTGCAGTTCCATTCAACAACGACCAACATGACACCTGACTCAATATTAGGGGAAGTGAACAAGCTGCCTGCAGCGCTGTGCAGCAAGCGCTGGAGAAAAGAGTTGCTGGTACAGAACCAACAATGTCTCAGCCGATGAGGAAGTGGCTGCGGTCTCCTGAGGACACCACGTAGGACTGGCCCGTGTGCTCCTTGTTGGAGGCAGGCATCTCTTCAGCGGAGATCCGGCCATCGGGTACACAAAAACGATTGACTATCGGACCTGCTGTGTCGTGTGACCACGATGTGGTCACGGCTGTCATCCCACGTCGCTGGTGCTTCATGGAGTCCGGCATGCTCGGTCGACTGGATGTGCGGCATCCTGCCCGGGCTTTGTCCGCCTGCTGACCGGGAGCACCAGCTTGAACATGAGCCTAGAGGATGCGTAGCTCAACGAAGCAATGAAGCCTCCGAGCTCTACAACAACAACAGACCTGACCCTCGGAACCTGTATACAACACGAAGAGCATAACCAAGCGTCGCAATCCACACACCGTAATCGTCACGTCATCTACTCTATGGTCATACAGTGACAAGCAGCAATGCCTCAACAGCGGAATAACAACAAACGCATGACTAGCGCTTCTTGCGAAATTTCAACAAAGCCGAAGCAAAAGAGCACAAGAAGGCAATAAGCAAGCACCCCAGCACTTACAACATATGCTGCTGCTAGCCAGGAACTGGTGAACCCTGGTTTGGCAGGGATCACGCTGACCAAATGACAACATGAAACACCAAACTCTAAACCCTAAGCTCCTAACCCTGAAGCCTAAACCCCAAATCCTAAACACTCCAAAGCCCTAAACCCTAAACACCAAAGCTGAAAACCTGATACCCTAAACCCTAAACCACCCTAAACCGGCCTGCAACAGAGAACCTCCCAAGCCAAAGTCCGTTGAACATCCGGGCACGGGGCAAACGTCGGATCCCTGATGGCAAGAGTGCTGGTTCCACCTGTTTGGGCTGTACCTAGGGTCTTCATGGCTTCGGGTTTACGGTTTATTTGGGGACTTCATGGTTTCGAGTTTAGGGTTTAGGGCTTATTTAGGGACTTCACGGTTTCGGGTTTAGGGCTTATTTGGGGTCTTCTTCATGGTCTCGGGCATACGGCCGGGTGTATTTAGGTCTAAAATTTTTGGGCTTAGGGACGTTTAGGGTTTAGGGTTTGTGTTTGTTCAGGGTTTTCAATCTTGGGGCCAGTTGACGGTGTGGGCGAAGCCATAAGCCTGAGACAAACCCTAAACCACTAAACCCTAAACCCTAAAACAAAATGCTAAACCCTAAACCCAAAACCCCTAAACCCTAAACCCTAAACCCTTAACCCTGAACCCTAAAAGACAACCTTGAACCCTAAAGCCTCAACCCCGAAAGCTTCACGCCCGTTTCTGGCTCTGGGCCTTGGCAA